TCAATTAGAGGTTCAAACCGAGCTGCGGTGTTCTCGTTGAAGATCTAGAAGTTCAATTTCTAGCATTTGATTTAAGGTATAAGCACCGTAATGCATTACCTCCGCTTTGAAGAGTATTCAAATAGGCTAGAACTACTGTTAACTACATTGAAAATGAGGGCCATGGGTTCAATCCCCAGAAGGGTCAACTTTTTTTTTCTTTCTTTTTTTCTTTTAACATTATTTATGTATCTCTCATGTCCCATTTGGAAAGAAAAAAGTGTTTAATTTTGATTTTTTAATTTATATAGGTATTTATTGGCTAAATTATGCTAAATCTAGTAATAAATATGGTACCTGATATTTTCAAAGTGTAATATAATCAAAACTAGATGGTAAAAGTATTTCATATTTTACAAGATCAACCAATATACTTTTTTAAAATTTTGGGAAACTTTGAAAACAGGCACCCATTTGGGTAAATTTTAAGAATTTTTTAAATTAGGCTCCCTAAGTAGAAAAATGGTCAGACACGTGGTAAAAATGGGTGGGGTAGGGTAACATTTTTATACAGATTTCATAAATTTTAAGTAGAACCATAATTTTGCTTATTTGGATTGTTAGCTGAATGGTACTTTTTGTTTCTTACCAAAAATTAATGGGAAAACATTTTTCATTAGAATGTTATTGCAGATTATTTAAAGGTTCCTACTTTCTAAAAAAGGGCCCTCATAACATCCTAGCTTGAGTTCAGAAAAGTGGCCATAACTTGATTTCCGTACGGTAAACTTTGTTTAAATTTTGCATACAGGTGTACTTTAAGGTATACATCTGACTTATGATGTCAATTTTTTAGTTCCTGATAGTGCCCATTAGGGTCCTAATACCTTAAGTCGAGGTTAACGACCTTTCCGGGTGCTAAATTTTAGCAATAATTGCGCCAAACTTCTCTGAAATCTGTTTATCTTTATTTTTTATTAAAGCTATAGGCTCGAATAACCTTCATACAAACCGAACTTTCAAAGTACAAATAACTTCATTGCGAATTATCTTCATTATCACAAATCATAACCGACCATGACTCAGCAAAATTGAATCTGTAACGATTGTCCGATAACGTCATTTGTCACATGACATAAATCTCGTGTGAACGTGATACTTTCACGTTGTAAATAAAACGTATCATTCGTATATACTAAATTATTAAAATATGACAAAACTCTCTATTCATGAACGCAGGAAATGGAAATGTTTAGATCTGTATGTTTTATGCCCACATTAATTATACGAAACGGTGTACCGTGAGATTTTATATTCATTTGTTTACATGATTAATGTCTTTTTACTGTATTACAAATGTGAAAGTAATATTCTCATTCGATATAGCCTTTATTTGACAAAACTGCGTTATACGAACTTGACATGTGCATAAATATGCATTTTGTGATATTTTTTTTCTTCTTCACGTTTTGATAACTTTTAATAATAAAGTTATACGTCTGCTTGAAATAGATACCGTTAGATTTTTAAAATGAACGCCAATGCTGCAATCTCACTGTAGTATAATTTTCTGTCATAATATAATATAAAAACAGAACAAGACATTAAAAGGCACATTATGCCTCACAAAACGACTTTTTTACCTTCTTTAGAAAGGGCAAAAACTAGTTTATAACATTAAAATAACTGTTTTTAGATAATATAAAGTTATCATCACTTGAAGAATGTAGCGCTGAATGTGAAACTTTTTGTTACAAAAGTAGTAAAATGTAAACAAATTAGTATTTTGATTTCCATACAAAAGCTTAATCACTACATGTTATTGCTAATTGCAAAAATAGCAACAGAAGAAGGCAGTTGCTTCAAGTTATTATGTAATTGGCCAGTGAGTTATTTTTTTGGAAACTGATTACGGGGCACTAAAATAAAAAGCATTTCTAAGGCAATACGTAAATGCATTTATACATGAACAAGTACATACAGTTCAAAACTATATAAGTGTAGAATGTTACATTGCATTTTATAGCAGTGTAAAATAGTGCATTACGGTATTATACAATACAGTAGAATACAGTTAGTTCACAGTTAGTTAAATACAATACAGTATCATTCAGATAAGAAAAAAACACAATGCTGAAAGGAAGACATTATTTTTAGATATTCAACAAATCAAAGTACGCTATAACGCTTGAAAAGGAAAACGAGATTCGATGTACCATACGCACGCACGCACGCACACAAAGCAAAACAAGTCAAGTTACGCCGAAGTTTATCATTGCATTTACCACATATCCAATAAAATCGGTATTGCACAGCCGTGCATATGTTTCGACGTAACGTCAAATGTTACAAATGTAACGCTATGAACGCTTTTCTTAATGTTTAGAGTTTTTATTTTGGGTAAGTGATAAAAAGAATATTATATTCGTGTAGCCTCATTACCATACCTATTAAATTCGTTGAAAAATGATGTTAGTCGTGCAATTTTGTATATCCTTATATACGCTGGCACTGTGGGTTATCGATATAAAATAAAAGCTTGCTTGTACCATAAAATATCAGCAGAATACCGTATATCTGTAAACTTTAATACATTAAGAAACACTATAATATCAGTAACTCTATCCAGTGTAGTAACATAAATTAAAAAGATCACTGAATGTAAGCAAAACCTTTATTCTATTATCGTGCTAGTGTTAAGTGTCCATATGGAAAATAAGCTATGAATATACACGCCGAATATATTCATTTGTGTATGATAATATTATTTGCGTATGAATAAATAATTGGCGTATGGAATTATAATATGCGTATGGATATATCATTTGAATATGGATGCATTAATTGGTATGAATATATCATTTACGTTTGTATATTTTATTTGCTATGAATATACCATTTGCGTATGAATATATCATTTGCGTATGAATAAATCTTTTGTGTCTTATGGACAAATCATTTGCTTCATGTATATATCATTTTATAAATTTACATAATATTTTATGAACTTTATTATCTGCGTATGAACAAATATTAGCGTATGAATATATCATTTGCGGAAAAGCTCTTGCTTTAATAGTTTAACATGATATCAGGTGTATTCTGAAATATTCAGTACACGGACGAACGAAACGTATTGGATCATGTTGAAAGCTATGCATGCTGTGTTTTCTTTTTTTTTTCCCTTCTTTTATTTTTTTGGTTTTGACATTGACGTTGTACATTGTCGCATTATCACGGTGTGAAAGCAAGGCGTAATGTTCACATTTAGATGGCAACATCAAGATATCGCATATAATTAAGAATTCATGCACGAGTGATATATACAAATATAAACGTCTATACAAACACAAGATATACTATATCACTCATTCAACAATAAAATGTGCAAAATTTATCAAAATGATCTAAACTATTTGGCTCTGTATATACCCCAATATAAAGAAATGTGTAGCGAGTGATTTTATTTTATTTCCTGTTGTTAAAGTGCATAAAAACACAATCAGTTTTCACGTCACATGAAAATGACTAAAAATGCAGACAAAACATTCGACGATATTTTGATACTCAATAGTTAATTATTATATAATATATTTATAAATTGTATGTGTTTTAAGGTTAAAAATCATAAATCTTATATTCTATTTATTCAATAATCACTTTTTTAGAGGAAAAAAATCATCTTGACGCGTACAGATTTATGATATTTTATCATAAACATTTCATGTTGTTAAAATTGTGATGTACAGTTTATAGATAGATACATTCTAAATTTCATCACGTCAAATCTTTTCATCGGATTTAATAACTTATGTAAATTTAACTGCGAATAAAATGCAGCAATATTGGGATATAATAGGAAAAGTGCATCGTCATGTCTGATGAACATCTTTTTCAAAAAGACACGTGAACTTAAAATAAAATTAGATACTGTGTACATTTCGACTTGCAATATTGAAGATTAGTAAATAACATATAGTTTGCAACAAACGTGAACGCGGCAAAATATATCCTATCGAAGAGAAAACAACACCAATTTGAGAAGAAATATTTAAAAAAAAAGAAGAAAATAGTTCAATATTAGGAGCTTCTAAATTGTTTTATCTTAAGTTAACAAAGAGATCTTACTAAACGTATATTAAAGATGGACTTCACTGAGTCGTTTAGATCTGGCAGGATTTGTTATTAAAAAGATAATATTTCGAGATTACTGTTCCGTTTTATGTAGGTCTAGACCAATAACTAGTGTACAGCATTTCAGATCATTCGCTCACTTCTTTTTTCCTGAATAATTATTTTATTATTACTAGGAAAAATGACCAAAAATTAAAAGCGTTATAACGCTTTTCTCTCAAATCGGACTAAGAATAGCACAAATGTACGATGTTGAATTTTTTTTTTAAATGTATTTATTTTAATTAACTTTAATTTTTATATTTAATTATCATATCTGTCTGTTTAAAGTGCCCAAGTTGATCTATGTAAGAAATTCAAATTTAGTTTTTTTTAAGCTTTTGGACCTCTGTAGACTAAATTAGAAATTATCTGTGACATTTTTTAGTTATATTCCATGAAAAATTAAATTATTTCATTATAGTTTTAAAGGCCCCGTTACAATCACATGCTGCACTGTGTTTTTATCACTTTGAACAGACATTGTTAACGTGACATGCACGTGACAGTATACTTCAAAATCTACAACTGATGCATTATAAAATTGTTTTGAAAATTGTATTGAAAAAAATATATGATTAATGTTGAATAATATTGTAATGATGATTTACTTACTATGTACAAGTCACTAGTGTTATAATGTTATGTTCTGCTTTGTTCTAATTAATGATAAGCTGTTTTGAAGAGTATGATTTCACAACATTTTTTTAAAAACTACACAGCTTAACAATATAATTATTATTTTCAATATTTTTGAAATTTTGTGAAATATTGTAAGTAACATTTTATTGTATAATACAACTTAATAAACTTCATAGATGCTGGAAAAGAAAACTAAATAAACTTACTGGATCCCTTTGTTCCTTTAGACATTCTTCTTAACTCCCTTGCAAGTTGTTCACTTTAAATAATGTTGATAAACTATCTACATAAATATAAACAAGATGATGTGACAAACTCAATTTATATATTCATTCATAAAATTATGTACGCATGCGCACTAAGCGCATTTAAAATTCAACACATCCTGATTGTACTATTTTACCCGATCATTGATAAAACCGTTTAAATAAAAGTGTTTTCCACATCGTGTTTATTTGTTATAACGTAAAAGTAATAAAATTGAAACAATTGTAGAGGCCAATAAGTGTTTGATTTTTGATAGGTTGATATTAAATATGTGTTATAAACTGATATGGGGCTTAAATTATGATTTATATAGTTATATTATGAAGGCATTTTATGTTGCGTGATCTTTAATTTATTTATTTTCAAGAAATCAAAACTTTTTGAAAAACAAAATGTTCACAATAGAATAAAATTCAATAAAATGTTATAGTTAAAAAAGTACCGCGGGACAGTAGGATAACTACCTTATAAAAGTGAGACTTTTAATTGCAGACAACATACATTTCGTTAAGAGTTTTAGTACTGAAAATTATTAAAACTAGAGTGAAGTTGACAGTTTACATTAATATAACATTAATCAATGTAATAACAAGGTTATTAAATGTAAGATAAACATTTTGTTTGAATGTTATGTTAGGTGAAGCTTACTGTCCATTCAAAAAGTGTGAGTGATTACATACTTTTCAGTCAAAAAGAAAATGAAGAGAAGAAATACGCATATTGTTAATTTTTCTTTAACTTATTAAGAGATGTTCCATTTGTTTAAAATCACATTGAACTAAATTTTCGACGAAGAAAGTGCCATGTATATAAACTTATGAAGATCAACATAATTGTACTCGTTGATTTTGCCGTTCATATAAATCAAATGACTGCAAAATAAGAAATTTACATGTTTTCAAATTTGAAATCAATCAAATCGCACGCCTTTTTAAAACCGAGTTACGTCCTGTAAAATTTTATTTATGTCTACCGCAAAAATTCTCACTCTTTCTTTTCTTGAGACTCACAAATCTTTATAATACAACGATTTATATACACATAGGTTACATTGTGGTCACTGATATTTTGTGGTTTAATGAAAATGACCACAATAAGGCAGGTATGCATTATAGCAAATAGCAAACAATTAAGAAAATAACAAAAACTATATACTATGTCTGTCTGTTTATCGTAAGAGGAGTGGCTAAAATCAGTCATTGATAATATCAGTTTTTGGATTTTTTTTAAGTTTTAATACCGAACAACCCAAAGTGATTAGGTTAGTTGTTGAAGTATCGAGTATTTTAAAGGTCATGACCTAACGTCTGGTTGGTTTTCCTAAGTGCATTATAACTGATATGCTATCTTGAAGAAAGCGCACATACTACATATTTCATACGATATTTATATGTAGAAACACAATGTTACCGTAAGACTGAAGGAGTTCTTTCCCTTGGTAGTATTTTAGTCATCGCAATTATTATTAGGAATATTCTAAAGAAAGAATTAAAACATCACAAACAATTTAATAATTATTTAGCTGTATGACCTTTTGATATCTGTGTGTAACTTTTTTTAAATGCGGAAATAATTTCCATATTTAAAAAAAAAAATTAAAAAAATATTAAAATGAATTAATGATCAGGAAAACACACTATCATCTCGATCAAGCCTGAAAAAATATTGGATCGGGGTGGTTTTCGGGCATTTTGTCGCATATTTCTTGTTATTCAAGGTAATTATGTTAATTATGAAATCTCTCTGTCACGTTATAGATGATATTACTGTAAGCATTACGACACTTCCTTCTTGAACATAATCCTTACAATGTAACAATGTTTGACAATGATTCAGCAAATAACAAAATATGTACGTTCATCTTTTTTTTTACAATTTCATTTTCTTCACTTCCTGCTTCTTGTTTTTACATCATGAAATCTTGGAACAGATGCAAACCAGGCGGAATCTGTTAGATTCATGATAATCAATTATTAATATCAAAACCAACATGCTGCTAAAAGGTTAATATAATGTTTTTTTCCAGATGCTTAAAGAATAAGTCTGAAATCAAATATTAAAATACATTTTTTTGGGGTTGAAGGGGGTAGGAAATATCTAGTTCGTCTGAAATTATATTACTTTAAATAAAGACATGTAATAGTCTAAAAGATAACATTATAATATTCTAGTTGTTTGATAGTACAGATTTATTTACGTACTTAATATGTTCTACAAATCGTTATTTAGAATTTAATATTTATTAATTGGTTATTGCATGTTCATACATTGATGACATCAATACTTAAGAAAGTAATAAAACTGTTTCTATTTAAGTTTTCATGCAGCTAAGTCGACAACGAAGGTCAATTTATATGTCCCTTTAACTTGCAAACGTGACAAAAATGTAACAAGATATTTAAACTATGTAGCGACAACCTAATTAGGTTAGTGCACTAGTTTATAAGTATAATTACAATTTTTTGTTAATCCTTGATAAAAGTACATCTTTTTTCTAAATAGCAAATCAGGTCGAAGTTATATTCACTGGGGATTTCATTTGTACTTTTATTGCTCTACTTGCAATATTATCTTACTCGTTTCTGTGGCTTTGTAAGTAATTGCCCCGTCCTTCATGAATTTCAGTGATCTCGTCATTTTCTAGTGTTAAAAAAACTTACTTAATAATTGAATATACTGCTTGAGCCAATGAAAGGAAAAAAAATTGCACTTATCTTTATCTATGATACAAAGTCAACCAAACCGAGTCTGAAATTTTCACAACTATTTCCACTATTTTGTTACTAATAAGTAAATAAGTTGTGTAGTATCAGTTTGTGCAATATCATTTGATAAGTTCATCAATGCATCAATGCATAACATACATTCAAAATTGTAATACATTAATATGACATACATGAGATATTAAAGACAAATCTATCAATTAGTAAGATGGAATCGACACCAATAGAGCTTACATCTATGTGAAATTAAAACTTGAAGTGTAAGGTTTTAAAAATGTTTAGCAGATGCAGCTGATGAAGGTCGATCCAGAATAAAAAAGTCTTAGAATTATTCATTATTTGGTATGGGAATGAAATATTGAAAATCGGACGATAAACGCAAATTGCGAGTATGAACATCATGCCATAAAATGAAATTATTCAATAAATAGGAAGATGCCTGATTATTCATTATCTTAAACTTCATAATAGCTGTTAGAAGAACAACCCTCTGAAAAAGTCATCCAGTCAAAAAATAGTTTAACAGATTGAGTGTAATAATCTTTGTCATTAGTCTTGCAGCTCTCTTTTAAAACTTCATGAGTTTATTTTCTAAAATCTAGATTTGGTACTATCGATAGTCAAATCACACCATTTGTTAGCATTTAAAAAGATCATGAGTAAGAGATTCAACTACTATATTTAGGGATAAGTCCGAAGTTGAAAGGGTGGTGTCATCAGCAAAAATTTCAGTGTCTGTTTTTTGCCATTTTTCCATAGACAAAGGAAGGTCATTGATATAAATAAAAAAACAGTTACAGTATAAGACCGAGCACTGAACCCTGAGTTACACCAGTAGGTACTGAGCGTACCTTTGAATATTAATCAGAAATGTAAGTTTGTAGAGGTAATCTACCTAAATAGTAGAATAACCAAGCAACCGGGGAAGGGTCAAGGTTATTCATTTTAAGCTTTTCAATCATTATGCAATGATACACATAGTTAAATGCTTCTTATTCTTTTTCTTCTTCCAATACTGTACATAACCCACTCTGGGGCATTAACGTACAGGGTACGCTTCAGAGAGACTGAGGAAAATTAAACTATTTTATTTTTGTAAATAATCCAGCCATCAACAATTCTAATAAGTGCAGTTTGACATGAACAATTTGACCTCAATCCAGACTGGCGTTGTTAGAGAAGTTGATTTTACTAACGGTATTGCTCTAAATGTGAACTTACATGACATTCAAGAACAATTGATATCAAGGGAAGCAAAAAAGGGGCTATATTTTCTCTATCACTTTAAGCACCATTTTATGTATAGGAATGACTTTTTGAACGATTTAAGAAATGTATTGTTTAGAATGCTATTGTTGAATATATTGGTAAGTCCGGGAGCAAACATATGGGCTAATATCTTCAGAAACCTTGCACTGAGACCATATGACTTTCATGACTTTGTAATATCTAGCGATTTTTACTTGTTCAACATATAAGGTACTTTCGGTATTTTGAAAGAGGGTATATACTGAAGCTTAGATGCATTGAGTTCAGCAAGCTAAGCAGTCTTATAAATGGCATGATGAGATTCTTGGAGATTCGCAAATTTTCTGTTGAATAAATTTTCAGTGATAAAGGGGTCAGTAACAGGGTTGCCATCATCATCATGATCATCAACTATAAGGTGTGTGTGAACATTCGATTTGTAACCAGATAATTCATTTAGATCAGTCCACAATTTCTTGATTGTGTTTGTTTTTATTGATGTTTCATTATAATAGTGTCGCTTAGAATCATATAAGAGAGACATAATGTGTTGTTTCCATATGTTGTAGTTATGTGTATCAGTAACTGTATGAAACTTATGTTTTATTTTAATAGCATTTAGAATGTTTTTATTTATCAAGTTCTATTGGATAACCTTCTTAACTAGATTTTTTTTCTGGTTGGTGCATGTTTTGCAAGGACAGTCAGTATTGTGTCAGTGAACAAATCTATAGAGTTTTCTTGATTTTCTACTTATATTATTTTTAACGACGACGATCCCAAGGATTCTGATGCCTCAGCCATGATGTTGGTACAGACCATATCTCCTCCCTTAAAACCTCCCTTAAAAAGGACGCAATTGGAATTTGAACTCCGGTATCTTTGTTGAGAAACCATTGTACAGTTAGACTATGTTATGTCATGGAACTCTAGCAATCAAGATACAGCGCAATATGCCATGTGCAATTTTTTTTTAGATACTACAACATTTTCAAATTTACCGTATTAGGTGTTCTTTATGGATTCGTATTTTCTCTATTTTACAGTAAAACTGAGTTATCTTTTACATACTTTATAATTAGACTGCGGCAAATCATTTTAAAACGACAAAATTATCTTCTTGCCC